TCCAGACCCGTGTCATCGAGGTGGTCGACAACTTTCAGAAGAATGATCACTTCTACTGGTCACTTCAAGCATGGCTTGCGCTTCGTTTCAGCGTCATGTCGGCTAGCGCTACGCTCGTTATGACACTCATCGCTGTCTACACACACATCAGTCCCGGTCTTACCGCATTTGTGTTGATTACCGCCGGCAAATTCGTCATACATACGGAGTATATGTGCAGGATATACGGAACGCTGGAGATGGACTTTACCAGCGTCGAGCGTGTCGTTGAGCTCCTTGATATTGAGACGGAAGCACCCGGTGTTGTTCAGCCACCCGCACACTGGCCTACCTATAGTGGCGACATCGAGTTCGATGATGTGACCATTCGATACGCAGAGAACCTCGAGCCTGCGTTGCAAAACATCACTCTAAAGATCCCTGCGGGATCCAACACCGCGGTAATTGGGCGAACGGGTTCTGGAAAGTCTACTTTGGCTCTCTCCCTCCTCGCCACTATTGCTGCGGAAAACGGCAGGATTTTGATTGATGGGATCGATATCTCCACCGTGGACAAGCAGGCGCTTCGCAGTCGCGTCACTTTCCTCGCTCAGGAACCAGTTCTCTTCCCCGGCACCATGCGCAAGAACCTGGACCCGTTATCTGTTTACTCTGATGCATCTTGTCTATCTGTGTTGCAGAAGATCGGTGGGGATCAATACAATTGGACGCTTACAACCTCGATCGAAGGTGGTGGCAAGGGTCTCTCACAGGGCCAACGGCAGCTTGTTGGTCTGGCTAGAGCCATGTTGAGGAGAAGCCCAATACTGATCATGGACGAGGCGACGGCCAGCATTGATTTCGAAACCGCGCAAAGGATACAGAGCGTTCTTAGGGAGGAGATGAAGAGCAGTACAGTAGTCACCATCGCGCATCGACTGGAAGCAGTCAAGGAGGCTGACTATTGTATCGTGCTTGGAAAGGGCAAGTTGGTCAAGGCTGGCAAAGCCGAGGATATGCTTAGGGAAGGCGGCGAGTTCCAAGGTATGTTGGCGTAGGGGTATAGGGGAAGATGCATCCGGCTTGCAGAGATTGTTACAATCAGGTTCGGTTTATAGTTGGCGTTCTAATTTCGACTCGAGGAAAAGTTATTGACATAGACTACTTGTATCGTATAGCTGTTTATCAACGACTTTCTTGCCGTCCCGTCTTCTTTACGACGTTACTACGTTAGGCAGTTGTGATTACATACCGTCGATAACAGCAGGTCCAGGCCGAGGTCTTCTGCTGTTTGTGGCTAGCGTGATTACTATTGCCAGTATGAAGGTGAAGGTGAACATACGACAGTTTGCAGGTCTAGTTATCCAATTGCGGATGTTCCCAAATAGGAAACTTCCAGAGCAAGCGTGGATTGCGGCAACTTGACTGTCCTTGACGGTGCTTGACGGTCTTCAACGCTGCTCTGTGCTGCTTACTGATGCGATGTCGCGACGAGATCTTTTTGTGTAAACCACGACCTGCCAGAAGCAAATCGAGTGTATAGCATGGGTCAAGCGTTATATACCTCTTCATGTCACAGCACCCTATCAGGCAAGCTCAACTGATTGCGGGCATTGAAAAAATGAATGTCGCTGCTGAAGCCGGATTCCGGGTCCAGGCATGAGGCTTGCGTGGCACCGCCACGATTTGCGTTAGTCGGCAGGGATGTGGGATGAGCGCATTGGTCGCATTTGGGAAATCGCAGACGCCGCATGTTCCGCGCCTGCAAAGCCTCGCAAACCTCAGTTGGCTTTCATGTTCGCCATTATTCAGCATGCGGTGACACCCGAAGAGCCCCTCCAGACTCCCAAACCATCTTGAATCGCTACTGCGCCTCTGAAGCCGCCCTACCACGATCCGGAGGTGTCGTAAGCTCCGCAACCATACAGCGTCACGCGGACCCCCGAGATGGCTGCCAACACGCAGTCAGACAGCAATGCAACCTCTCCAGGCGACCACGAACTCGAGGTCATGGCGGACAATAAGCCCAGCCTCCCGGTGGAGGAGGACATCATGCAGCTGGCGCGGCTGGGTGAGATTGCGGCTATACAGAAACTCTTCGACGGCGGCAAGTTCGATGCGACATACAAGGACGAGCAGGGCATAACGCCGCTACATGTGGGTATCACAGAGCATTGGAGCATGTTTCGGGGCTGACTATGAGTAGTGGGCGGCTATCAACAATCACTACGCCCTCTGCCACTTCCTCATCCAGGCCGGCGCGCCCATCAACGCAAAAGGCGGCGATGCTGTCGCGACACCCGTGCTCTGGGCCGCAAAGCGCTGCAACTACTACATCGTCAATCTCCTCCTCGACCACGGCGCCGATCCGCTCCTCACCGACGACCAGGGCTTCAATCTCCTGCACAGCGCAACCCTCGATGGCAATGTGTACCAGATTGTCCTGCTACTACACCAAGACATACCCGTGGATATCGCAGATCCGCAGAGCCACACCCCGCTCATGTGGGCGGCATACAAGGGCTATCCGTCTTGCGTGGACCTGTTTCTCCGATGGGGTGCGAACGTATATGCGACGGACGACCAAGGCTTCACGGCATTGCATTGGGCGCTTGTCAAGGGCAGTCAGGGATCGATACAGAAGCTGCTCGAGTACGGAGCGGACCGGTTCGCTAAGAACAACGACGGCAAGACGCCAGAGGTCACGGCGCAGGAGATGAATACCACCCGGCAATGGCGTCGCGCTCTCATGGAAGCTGGCTTCGACAAGAATGGAAACGCGCGGCAGTTCCCCATCCCGGGAGTGAAAGACACGAGGTGGTTCCTGAGCCGATTCATCTTCTTCTGGCCCTTTGCCATTCTGTTCGTTGCGCTTTCTCTTGTCAGCCGTCTGCCAGCGTTTCTTGGTATACCATTGGCCGTGATTGTTGCGTACGTTATGCAATGGGGAGCGCAAAGGTTGTTGCGCTGGGGTCCCTCGAACATGCGAAGCATACATCATACTGTGAGTCGAGTGCTCAAACACATGCGCCTAGTCGCTGACGAGCTTCCAGCCTTTCCTAGCCGGTATCTTCGCTGGCACGCTTTTCTGGGTCGGTGCACGGTGGGCAACGACTGTATTACCATGTAAGCCATCTTATCTTACACACAGATATCTCGCTAACACAAACGAGGGACGATACGAACGAACTTTCTTCTTAACTTCCTATTTGCGGCGTTTTACGCATCTACGGCCTATTTTTACTTCTTCACTATGACCACTGATCCCGGCTTCGTGCCCAAGTCGGCGAGCAGAAGTGCATCCAAAGCGGTTATTGATGAGCTCATGGAGCTACGACAGTTCGATGAACACCATTTCTGTGTGAATTGTATGGTGCGGAAACCGTTGCGCAGTAAGCATTGCAAGCGCTGCGAGCGTTGCGTCGCGAAGAGTGATCAGTAAGTGTTCCACGTAGGCAGTGAGTGTGGCACTAACTATGACAGTCATTGTCCGTGGGTTAACAATTGTGTGGCGAACAACAATCACAGACATTTTGTTCTATACGTACTGTCTTTGGAGCTCGGTATTGTCATGTTCATCAGGCTGGCACTTGCTTGTAGGTCATCACACCCTGAGTTTGCACTATGAAGCTAACTGGCGCAGACTTGGAGATACGTGACGCACCCACGGATTACCCCAAATGCGCCGTCATCTCACCGGAACTTTGCAAAGTCCTCAACAAAGATCCTTTCACGATTGTGCTCTCAATATGGGCAGCTTTCCAGTTGACTTGGGTAACCATGCTTCTCTGTGTTCAGCTGCTTCAGATTGCGCGGAACCTCACAACCTACGAGAGCATGCGCGGTCATCTCCATGGCGCTACACCCGCAGACGCACTCAACTCCTTTGTTACGACTGGCGACACCAGTCAAGATGTATCTGGCGGTGCCGGCAGCGCACCAACGAACGGGTTTGGCTCTGGCCAAGACACGGGCGACATCCCGCGGCGTCCTCAGCCCAAAGCCTCCATCTGGGACCAGTGGAAGCGTCTCCTTGGAATCGACACGTTCCTCACCATCGCCCTTCACGGAAGTCAAGGAGAGCAAATACGGCGGCAAAGAAGAGGGAATCCCTTTTCACGCGGCATCGTTACGAATTGCAAGGATTTCTGGTGTGATGCCAGTCCCATGTTTGGCACGAAGGAAAGTGGTTATGCGAGGCTTGGTGGTGAGCGCGTAGATTATACGAGGCTGTATGAGGTGCCAAAGATGAGGTATCAGCGGGGCGGAGGAGGTGAGGGAGGGAGATACGAGAGCGTAGCTGCGGAAGAGGAGTCATGATGATGATGCAGATGGTAGTAATGTTAATGATGATGAAGGGTGTGAAGAAGTATCTGCGTATAGACACGTGCGAGAGTTTCTCTGTACCATATCGGCTACTAAAGTGTTGCCGAAACCCCTGCAGCTTCAGCCATACCGGAAGCCAGAAGCCGAGGGTGCAGCGAAGAAACTCCCCGCGCCACCCTAAACAACCCGTCGTGGGTCGCGCACATGCTCGACGCTCCACAGCCCTGCTCAGCTCCGTCGCCTGGCGTTTTTGCTGAGCTTTCTTCTCCGCAATGCCATAGATCCCGACTGTTTCTTTCCTTACTGTCATCGTCGCGAGCTTTTAGGCTGTGCGCCAGATGTCGAAAATGACATCATCCGAGGCCCTGAGAGGGTTGAGGACCCTTTCGCGGTGCGCTGGCCCGGCGCCGAGGAGCATCGCGGCCGGACAGAATTTGGCTGTCGACAGCAGAAGAGCGCTATGTACGGACTGCGCAAGGAATTCGAGAGCGACGAGCAAGGCACGAGGGCTTGTTCTGGCGCGCACGAATAAGCTGGCGCATGCTCCGAACAGAGTTTCGTTTGCGCCAGTGGGCCGCAGAGGATACGCACAGGTTGCGCAAGAGTGTACGTTCGGCCATTAGTAGAGCGGCTGCATGGACCGAGTGCTGACCTTGCTAGATGCACCGGACCAGTCTGAGCAGACCCATGGGCCCATGGCCGAGTACGATGCGCGTGTTGAGTCCGGACGACTGCGAGACGACGAGCACCAACGCAACATCATCAAGAACCTGCAAGATCTCCACGACATGCTGAAATCCTACACGCAACCGCCCGTTCAACAACCTACCATCGAGTCCCTACAGCCGCCCAAGAAGTCGTTCTTCTCCTTCCTTACGTCGTCCAACTCCGCGGGGTCGGCCCTACCACCTATACCCGATTCGCTGCCAAAGGGCATGTACATGTTTGGCGATGTGGGCAGTGGGAAGACAATGATGATGGATCTGTTCTACGACACTCTGCCGCCGAACATCAAGAGGAAGACAAGGATACATTTCCACGCGTTTATGCAGAGCGTACACAAAGATTTGCACAAGATGAAGATGCAGCATGGGAATGATATTGACAGTATACCCTTTGTAGCAGCGGGTATAGCGGAGCGCTCCTCCGTCCTCTGCTTCGACGAGTTCCAGTGTACGGACGTTGCTGATGCTATGATCCTGAGGCGATTGATCGAGAGCCTGATGGCCCACGGAACCGTCATTGTCACGACGAGTAACAGACACCCGAACGACCTCTACAAGAACGGAATACAAAGGGAGAGTTTTGTGCCCTGCATAAACCTTCTCAAAACGAGGCTTACAGTCCTGAACCTGGATTCTTCGACGGATTACAGGAAGATTCCACGGCCACCAAGCGGTGTATACCACCATCCTCTAGATGCATCTGCACAAACACATGTAGAGAGATGGTTCCGCTTCCTCGGCGATTTCGAAAACGACCCCCCACACCCCGCAATCCATGAAGTATGGGGAAGAGAAGTCCGCGTGCCGAAGGCCAGTGGGAAGTGCGCCGTATTTAGTTTTGACGACATCATCGGACGCGCTACGGGAGCAGCCGATTACCTCGAACTCACGAGACAATATGAGGCGTTTATCATTACAGGGGTGCCTGGAATGAACCACAGGTCAAGAGACTTGGCGCGGAGATTCATCACCTTTATAGATGCCGTGTACGAATCAAGGGTAAGCGAGATGCTGGTAGCACAAGACCCTATAGCAAAAGGCTTGTGATTGGAGTATACCATGCTAACGTAAACCTAGGCCAAGCTAGTAATGACTACAGCCGTTCCACTAACGTCCCTCTTCCTTGACCAAGCCGAACTCAACGACGCGGTAACCGCTACACAAAAGGCTGGGAAACTTCCTACCACAGCCTCTTCTTCATCAAAGCCGCCTGCCAAGTCTGCGCAAGCGGACGACCACGAAGCCATCTCGGACGTAATGCGCAATCTCATGGACGACCTTGGTATGAACATGGATATGTTGAAGAACAGCAGTATCTTCTCTGGCGATGAAGAAAGGTTTGCATTCGCGAGAGCGTTGTCGAGATTAAGTGAGATGGGGAGTCAAGAATGGGTTGAACGCGGACTGGGCCTTGAAAAGAGGGGTGGAAAGGGAGAGATGGAGGGCTGGCAGAAGGTTAGGAGTAGGTGGAGAGAGGATAGCATGTAGGCGTGAATGCTTGCAACATGACATATTCTGCCATGCTTTGAAGCTACCATCATTCCATTGATCTGAACATGACAATCTTTATCAAAGCTCCCAGGCGAAAGCTGGTAAATATTTGGCGCCCAGCGTTTGTGATGGACTTTTCTGCGGGGACATGCATAGAGCTAGAGTACGCCTTTGAGCGAAACCTGAAACCTATACACAAGTGGGTGTCGTCGACAACAAGTCACTGTAGACCCTTAGTATCCTAATCTGAGAGCCGCCGGAAGCGGTCGATGTGCTCTTGTCTTTGAGACTTCATTGCTGGGCCGGAGAGATCAGAAGAACGATCAAAGGACAGTTTTTCGATCTTGATTCCAAAACATGTCAAGATAGTCGTGATCGACGCGTCTCCTTGTCCGATAATACTGCGATGTGCGATGCGGTGCTTATGTCGGACGTTGGGCATCTGTACGTGTCAGGCCACGAATCGTCATCATCGTACCAGTGGATGGAAATATCGAGATGCCGTGGTGGTGAGCAGTCAGGCATTTTTGATCGACCCGGTTCATTTGGCCGAAACCTGCGGAGCCGCGGTATGGCCGGCCGACATGCTGCTCGCTGGCACACAGACGTGATCGCCTCGTGTTCGCCAATATTGCTAGTTTCCAATGCGATTTCGAGCGAAGCTAGGGCCAAGGTTATCAATTAAATCTACTTGCAAGCCTCTAATAGTTCCCCTATTACCCCTAAGCTACTTATAAGACTCCTTGTAGTACCCTATTCTTACAATAAATCTAGCAACGTTCCTCTAAAGCTACATGCTATGTTAGTAGCTCTCTAGCATAGACTAAAGTGCTAGCAAGTAGCTAACAATTCTATCTAACTTAATAAATTTGCGCATACGTTTAGCGCTTAGGTTAGCGTTAAGGAGCTTAAGTAATTACTTCTTATTAAATCTTTTAAGGTTAAGCTCTTAGGTTGTACAGCAGCACTAATAGCTATTATTAAAGCAGGTGCACTTAGAATTAGCGTTAGAGTAGTTAATTAGCGCTGTAAGGCAGTTGTTGCAGAGAGTAACCTTCTTAAGTTAGACCTAGTGTTATGCAGAGGATAGGATTTAACTTACTTAAGTAGCTATATTTACAGTGTCTTGCATTAGTATAGGTCTGTAGGCAGAATTTTTTAGGTACTTATACTCTATCCTAACTAGGCTGCAGCAGTAATGTAACTAATAGTTGCCTTAAGTAGTGTACTAGTTTTTAGTAAAGAGAGCTAACGATAACCTTGGCGATTGTCGGGCGGCAACGTTTGCGGTTAGATTTCGTTTCCTAGACAAAGGCTGCAGAGGCTAGCGAAGCACATGTTGCAACCACGCGTTTCCTAAAAGTAGCGTGGCGGAAACGGCGGAGGCGGCAAGTATCGCGTGCAGTTTGGCTGTGGCTGAGGTGTTGCAACGAGAACCATGTCTGGAGCATGTCTGAGCACGTCTGAGCACGTCTAACGATGTTGGCGGTGAAGGTCAAGGCAGCCAATAACGCAGGCTGCGGGAAGCGTCCCAAGTCACATGGACCTTGGCTGTACGTCATGGCCGCGACGCTAGCATTGGTAGCCGCGATATGCACGACCGCGGGCCAGCGATAACCCTCCTTCCTGAGCACGCGCATTGTTCGTAGTAAGCACATGTTTGTGCTGCCTCCCCAACGTGGATATGGAGACTCCACATCCCGTCACCTGTCCTTATCGTGCATCTGCAGCGTCGTGGAGACTCAGGGTGTTGGTGTGGAGAGAGGGTCCTCGTGAGTCTTGCGCTGAACAGACTAGTCATCAGAGGCTTGGTATCGATTACAGGCTGCGGCGTGTGATATAGACCTCGCTGCCTCTCCAACACCCCTCTTGCTCTGTTTGTGAGTATCTTTTCCAAGGGCAGACGGCATGGTCAACTTCACTCCCTGGCGGAAGCCGCAACCAGCGGAGGCGGGTGCTGAGAGTTCGACTGCCACATCCACCACACAAGAGAAGGATACCCCACGGCCCAAGTGGAATCTGGGGATCCTGAGCGACCCACAGACGGACGAAGTGCCTGGTAAGGACGTTCCTGCACTATGATCGATACACGAACAAACAATTAATACCCTCTTCACAGGCTCCGTTATCCTTCTGTCCAAGACGCACAACCGCAACGAGCCGCTAGGACTGCAACACGCCCACGCACGCACATCCGCCTCGTCGCTACCCACCACACAGCGCCCCCAGCCCCTGCGAACTGCCTCGCATGGCTCCCGCCAGTCGTCCCGTTCGCGGCGGCCCGAGAAGAAGCGTACAAAGGACGGCCGCTTCATTCTGGACCCTCAGCCCGAGGATTCAGCAAATGACCCGCTCAACTGGGCTCAGGTGCGACGCGACCTCGCTCTCATATCGCTCGGCTTCTACTGTATGGTCGGAGGAGGCATGACGCCGCTGTTGGCTGCTGGCTTCAACGACGTGGCTGATACATACGACGTGACGATTCCCCAGGTGGCCTTGACTACAGGCCTGTACATGTTGGGACTTGGTCTCGGCAGCGTCGTTGCATCACCTACTGCCATCTTGTTTGGCAAGCGACCCGTCTACCTGGGCGCAATCATACTGTTCACCATTTCCTCGATATGGTGCGCCGTGTCGCCGAACTACGCCTCACTGGTGGTGGCTCGTATTGTCCAAGGCTTTGCCGTTTCTCCGGTCGAGTGTTTGCCCAGTGCTACCATTGCCGAGATTTTCTTCCTCCACGAAAGAGCGTATCGCCTGGGTATCTACACACTACTTTTGCTCGGCGGCAAGAACCTGATTCCCTTGGTCAGCGCCGTTATCGTGCAAACGCTCGGATGGCGATGGGTGTTCTGGATTACCGCCATTGTGGTCGGCTTCTGCTTCTTCCTCATCTTCTTCTTCGTGCCCGAAACATTCTGGGACCGAGCACCTAAACCAGCCAAGCGACACACTCGCGCCCGCAGTAAGAGTCCAGGAAAACACCATGGACATTTCCACCTGCCAAATCTTCATCATAAAAAGGCCACAGACGGACAAGCGCAGCACGTATCGTCAGTGCCAGCGACGCCCTTGCCAGCATCGCCTCTGGCGGGACCTCACGAGCAGCCTGCCAAACGCCACAAGAACGCCCATGTTGGATTTGCAGAGCCGGATCCCGATGAAAAGACTGGACACGTAGATATGGCTGACGAGACTGTACGCCATGCAAGTGTTCCGCCAACTCCTCGCTCTCCGATGAGTATTCATTCTACCCCCGGGGAGGACCCAAGACACGACTACTTTGGCCAGCTCCCAGCAAATTTGGGGTCCGACCCTGAGAAGCAAGACATTCGAGCTGACAGCGGACACCCGCCGTCTGATCCTGCTGCAGCGGATCACATCTCGGAGCAGCTGAGCATCCACTACACCGACTACTATCGTGATGCCCCACCAAAGTCGTACCGGCAGTCGCTCAGACCGTGGAACGGACGTCTTGTCAAGGACAAATGGCTTCGAGTCGCGGTCCGTCCCTTCATTCTTTTCGCCTATCCCGCAGTCCTTTGGTCGTCGCTCGTCTACGCTCTCGCTGTTGGTTGGCTGATTGTGCTTTCTGAGTCGGTTGCCCATATCTACCGCGATACGTCGTATAACTTCACCCCGCTTCAAGTGGGTCTCGTCTACATCTCGCCTTTCATAGGTGGTGTTCTTGGTACGGCAGTGGCAGGTCGGGTTTCCGACCTTGTAGTACGCTACATGGCGCGCAAGAACGATGGTGTGTACGAGCCGGAATTCCGTCTTCTTATGGCATTGCCAATCGCGATTAGCACTGTTATTGGACTTATGGGCTTCGGCTGGAGTGCAGAAGAGAAGGACAATTGGATTGTCCCTACCGTCTTTTTTGGCGTCATCAGTTTCGGTTGCTCGTTGGCTAGTACGACATCGATTACTTTCGTCGTGGACAGTTACCGCATGTACGCAGGCGAGGCACTTGTCACGCTCAATTTCTCGAAGAGTAAGTCGTTCCTCAACACCGTTTTGAGAATACACACGCTAACGCAACTTAACAGACGTTCTACACGGCTTCATCTTTTCCCTCTTCTTCCCGCATTGGCTTGAATCGAGTGGTAGCAAGGATACATTTTTGGCGATTGGCGGCATTCAGTTAGGATGCATGTTGTTCAGCATCCCCATGTACATCTACGGAAAGAGGGCACGCATGTGGACTGTCAGGAAGAACTTGATGGAGAAGTTTTAGAGGGTTTCAATAGATTTGACTATGTGAAAAGATTGGATGTGCAGCAAGCAATTGTCTTCTCGCGAACTGCGAACAGTGTTGCTGTCCGTCGTGCGAACATCTTGCATGAGGATAGTAAAGTGCCTGCATGAGATATGATATCTACCAATGTCAATGTAAATGTATTCTTGCTCATCCCAGGTACGGCCGGATACAGATCGTTCCATCTTCAAGTAAAGAGAGTTCTGCTGATGAACTTTTGTCATCGTCCAAACCTTATAGTCTGTTGTTGTGCCTAACATGGACATCAAATCGACACCTAGTACACCGCTCGTTGCTTAGACGACGACGCTTCGCCCTTGGCGGCGGGCAGTATTTTGCGCTCGACGCACCCTGCGGCCCCCGCTCAGGCTACATCAAACAGCCCCTTCAACACCAGATTGAACCCTCACACCGCCTATACCACCGTTTTTGGACTTGCTAGATATCCTTCTTGTCACCAAGTAACTCGCACATACACCTATATACACAATGGTATGTAAAAGATGTTCCTTCCCCCCGAAACTCGGACCCCGCATCACTCGTGGCTTCCACGCTATCGTTGGTTGGCCGCGGCCAGGTCGTCCCTGCCCTGGCGAGCGGAAAATGGCAGCGGCGAGTGGCCGTAACAGCACAACGCGCGTGCTTCACTTTGTCACACATGGTGTCAACAGAGCCCCTTCACTCCGGCAGCAGCAACACACCAACCGCACGCTTCAACCCACAACAACAACCCCGCTAC